TACGTCAGATCTAGCACACTGCTACTGTATGTTGTTTAAAGCAATAGGTCGAATCTAGCGTACTGTCAGTGTAGTTTGAAACTATGGGCTACTGCCGCTTAGTAGATACAACTTTTTTTTTTTACTTTCGGGGAGAAAATGGCAAATGAGGTTGTTCCGCTTTAATTTTAATATCATTGGTCGCACCCATGATTAGTCGATATGGACATGGACTGTACAATGAAATGAAAAGAGAGAAATTATTCAGATTGAAATTATGTTTTTTTTTTTTTTTTTTTTTTTAAATAAATATATTATTGGCTGTATTTTAATGAGCTTTCACAACTTACTTGAATCGAGTTTACAAATATAAATCAGGAATGAGAACAACCCGCAAGCAGAAGGTATCCAAGGGTAAGCTACTCTGTTTTACAAAAATGTTGACGTCTCCCATAAAGGTCAAATCTTACATGAGTAGATGACTCTCTGGGCAACCAAGTATAAAAAGAACTTCAAAACTCGTAATTACTATCACCAAATGTTTAGTTTAGTTATAATCTTGAAAATAAACCAAGATTGCTTAGGAATTTTGTTTTATTGAAGCTATTACAGTCATAATTTTTAACAAGACAATTTATTGGGTAAAAAAAAAATGTTATTGTATAATTTATTATGGGCAAAAATCAATAATTAGCATGTTTGATTTTGTGCACAATTTTAAAGCAGTAAGTTAAGTAATAAGTAAACTAATGACATAATATACTGACACAGTACCTTATGAGGAATGAAGTTGGTCTTTTAAGGAAACATTGATATTAAATTAATAGAATGAGAAGGATTGAAAAGGACACAGCTACCACCCTATCTTTTAATACAAAATAATTAAAACTTGATCCTCTTCTATGCACAAATTTACAGTCATACCTTTTTTTATGTATTTCAAAAGAAATATATTATATTTTTTAGTTCAAATGAAAGCAGCATTCAACAAACATTTGTCTGTTAACAGTGCCTAAGAGGAAACCCATTTCAAGAGCTTTGAAGAGGACTTAAAAACTCCCAAATAAAAAAAAAAATGTTTAAGTTTAATACTCCTATATCATTGAATAAAGAATAAGAAAAATAATAGTATTACCCACACACTAAAATGCCACAAAATTGAATTGTAGAGTTCTGCAATTTAAGACTATTAATAATAATAACTATTAAGCTTAAAGAAAACAAACACAAAGAATTATTATCAGACTTCACCCATTACTTGGGTAAACTTTAAAAGCATTCAATTCAGTAATAAGATGTACAGCTTACACACTGATAAAACATTTCACAGACTGATGCATATTAAAAAAAAAAAAACGAGGTCATAAATGTAAAATATAAATTGAATAGTTATAAACGTACAAAAATTCCTGAAAAGCTATATACTACAGTTATTACAGGGATGACCTCAATGTCGGCACAGGCATTTCCATCCAGGAACTGCTTCACTGTGTTATTGACTTCAGAACATTAATCAGTACTCAGAAACTGTAAAGATGTAACTAACACACAATTATATACAGGGGAATTTGACTGTACTTTTAATTATGAACATTGCCAACCAGTACAACTTTATTCTGTCATAATTAAAAAAATTATTTTTAAAGAATGAACTGCAACTAAATGTCCTCTTTGTTATTTGTTATCACGGGTAATTCCTACTTTAGAAATATTTAATGTTTTCCATTCTATTCATTAAAAAAAAATGTATGCATAATTGTAATTGTTTAGGTCACATTCTAAAATGACATTACATACAAACTTTGTTTTTAAGGAACCATATTGAATGCATATTCATATACATTTCTAGATATAGATATATTTCTCAGCATGAGTAATCTAAGTCATCAGATGTCAAGGTCTAGAAGTGTAACTTCCATTAGGACATCTCGGGAGGTAAAAAAAAAATAAAAATTCTGTATAAACTACAAAAACATTTTTAATTTTCTAAAAAAAAAAATGATGATACTACTCCTGTGGATTGTTCTGGGGCTTTCCTTTTCTTGACATGCTTTCTATCAGATGGTTATAGCTCACCTGCAGCCAAGATTGTGAACAGATCTTATGCATATCACAACTTATTTCTGATTTCAAATGTATTGTCCAGCAGTCAAATAAAAAATCCAAAGAACAAGAATTCAGTTGTTGTTTTTTTTGTTCAATCCTAAATCAGGAACATGTCAAGTATTTTCTGTAATGATTATAAATAAACAAGAGTGGGGTAGGAAGGCTCTTACAAAAGATGTGTAAATCTTTAAGGTGGATGGGAATCAAAATGTTTGCCATTTCTCAGACTTGGGGAACAGCAAGAAAAGCTGTGAATATTTGTGCTGTACACAGCGCACAGCACAATGATAACGCAATAACAAGGTTGAAAGAGTAAACACTCAAAATCAACCAGAGGACATATATAATGACTTAGCAACTTGGACCTTTAAAAAAAAATTTTTTTTTATTAATGTTAGTTATGACACATAAGTCAAACATTTATGTTTTTTCATTAATTATTTTTCCATTTTATCAAGCTGAAAAAAAACCCACCTCGCAATCATCATTTTATAAAAAGCTATGAAAAACAATAGAATCTCTATGGTGTACAGTATGCTTTAATACCTATTTGACTTTTTTCATCACTCCATTAATAATACTGTGAGGTCATAATCATACATATTTCACATAATTCATTGCCTGGAAATGGAAAAGCCTCATGATTTGTTTAAATGTATCTTTCAAAAGTCATAGTAATATTGAACTTTTTGTTTCTGCAAAACATCAGTTACAAAAGTGCTTCTCAAAGCTGCTATCTGCACTAACCCACCTGTTTGGGAAACTAGTTTGAGTCACTAGTCAGAATGACATGAAAATATTAAGAAGGTTAAAAAAGAATAATAAATAAATAATAGAGCAAACCAAACCCCCCCCCCCCCATTCTTAATTCTCTGTTGCATTGTGATTTATTCCTGTCAGTGCATTAAACAGAAAAGTTTTAAAAGGGCTTCTCAAAGCTGCTATCTGCACTAACCCACCTGTTTGGGAAACTAGTTTGAGTCACTAGTCAGAAAGACATGAAAATATTAAGAAGGTTAAAAAAAAAAAATAAATAAATAAAAGAGCAAACCAAACCCCCCCCCCCCCCATTCTTAATTCTCTGTTGCATTGTGATTTATTCCTGTCAGTGCATTAAACAGAAAAGTTTGAGAAGCACTTAGTTACTACCCACTTCAAATGATATATTTAAAAAATGAGTTTAAAAGAATAAGAGCGATGAACAGACTATGCTATAATAGCAACAACAATAATATATACATTCAAATGTAAAAATATAACTCAGGTAAAAATTTTAAGAGTGGCGGGTCATTGGGATGAAATGGAACACCCAAAGTGCATGTAAACAAATGAACTAAATTACATGGGATTAAAAAGGTATGTGAAGTGAAAAACACACACAAATCATTTTTTTTTTCTCCAAATAATTGTCAATTTCATTTTTTTAGAAATCAATACCTCAACACAAGTCACTAAGAGAACAAATATAAAATGTTTTGTAATCTCATCAATGATCTAATGAAATTTTTAGTTATTCAACAAACCTTCGATCATTTTGGTCATGATTGTTTGGTTTGTGATGATCTACTTGTATTGTAGCAATGCAGATAATAGCTTGTTCAATGGGCAGGTATTTCAGGGCTTTTTTTAAGGATCGTATATGCTACATCACATTCACAATAACCCAATTTTAGTTTACAGATAATTCTGATTTAGGAAGGTGTAGAGGTTTGAAATTAATAAAAACATTTTTTTTTTTTTTTTAAACTAGTGTAGCACATAGGTACAAGTAAATTTAGGATTTAAAGTTTGAATAAAGTTAGCCACAGTCTGGTAGATGTTAATGACTTATAAATTTAAAGACCTTTAATAATATGCCACTGATAAGAATCAGCTGGAATAATTATTCTTGAAAAATCTATGAAATTTTAAGGTTCTCTAAATATAACCTTTTCAACCAGCATATATTAATTTTGTATACACATCTGAATACTATTTAACTTTACTTTACTTTTTCAATCGGTAATGCTCTCTCTTAGCAGTATGGGTTCAATCAATCACAGGCACAATAAAGAAGGAAGGAATAAAATCATTATGAAGACTTTAGGGATTATTATGTATGACAACATTCAGTAGGAAGCAACTCAGATTAATGGACACAGCAGCGTGAGCTCAAAAAAAAAAATATTAGTACATTAACAGCAAACCCCAATGACAAGATTGATAGGACCAAACTATGAACACAGCCTGATTTTGAAAAACTTAAAACAAGTTTGGGAAACTCACTTGACTTCCACTTTTTAAAAAAAATTTTTTAAAGTACAGTCAGCTTTTCCATGAAAACACAGAAATGCAAAACATAAATTAACATAATACAAACTATCTATAGAATACTTGGTCTTTCCTTTTAGGATTCTTCTATAAAGTGAAAAGTAATCTGCTTCTGTTGGAGATTTTGTTTTTCTTGTATTCTGAAAAGAGGGATTAAAATAAGTGTTAAAAGCTGCGCAGGTTTTCTCAAACATTTTAGATCTCTTAACTACTTTGACAAGCATATATGGAAATATACCCAAATCTATAATTATATTATTAAAAATAGTATTATTAACTAGTACTGACACTCACTGCATTTTTTGATAAATGGTTTAGGATACATTTTGCAGACTAGTAGGGGAAGTAAAAATTATACTCAAGAGTGAAAAGATAATGAATTATAAAAAGTTTAACTCACAGTTACTTATACTTAAGACAAATTAACCAAATTAAGCCCACATTGGTATGTTTATTTGTCTGTTGCATTTATTTTTCTTTTAAGTTTTTTTTACCAAAACATGATATAAATATTACTACTTAGATAAATTTGTTGTTTTTGTAATGTTTATTATTAGTTATTAGCTATCAAATTGTATGGAACTTAACAAAGATAAAACATATTTTCATAAAATATACTTACAATCATCATCTGGGATTGATATAGGAGTTTCTTCATCACCACTTCTATAAGTAGATGTAATATCGTGTATGACTCCTATGTTAAGTAAAAACAGAAAATATATAAAAATAGAAATACAATGAAAACTTAAATATACACAGCCCTTTAGTTATACGTAAAGTAAATATTTACAAATATTTTTTTACCCAATAACCATTCCCCAATTAAATGTAAGGTGTAAAATTGCCATCAAGACGCTGCATGGATGTGACAACAATATATAAATTTTGATACTCGGTTCTCTTCTAGCCAGTATATACATGTCACATATACATCTCTTTCAGATCTCCTCTATTTATAACAGTGATAACAGTAGAGATAACTTAGAAGTCTCATTTGATTCAGAATTAAATATCATATTTTCAATTTTCTTTACTTTTTTTCCCTTTTATCTAATCAAAGCAATTTGTTGATGAGCTATTTCCTGTTTACAAACACATAGCCTGATAAAGAGGTTGTAGAGAGTCCACAAATCTTTGTTTGAAATTAATTTTTACAACTAAAATAATATTATAATCCCTTTAATACTGAACATGAGTCAAAATAGGTTGTTGAAGCCTCAAAATCATACTCTGCAACTGAGCAAATATTATCTAAGGAGCCAGAGGACTAATCCAAAGAATGTTCTCTCAAATCACTAGAAACTGACGTAATGTAAAAAATTAAAAGGGTCAATTTATGTACAGAAATTAAGAAAAATTGTAAAATTAATTTATAACATTGATACCAATAAGACAGTGGTAACATAGCAAGCGGCTAAGAGATCAACAGGCTGGCTTCCACCAAAACAGATCATGCACAGATCAAATTGCAATACTACGAATCATTGTAGAACAGTCAGTCAAATTGAACTCGCCCCTATACCTAAATTTTATCTACTACAAAAAGGCCTTTGATAGCCTGGACCGACAAACCTTGTGGAAACTTCTCCGGCATTATGGGGTAACAGGAAAACAAGTCAGGGTCAGCCAGAGTTCTTATGAAGAAATGACATCCAGGATGGAACACGAATGTAGACTCAAAGATGACATCCAGGGTGGAACATTAAGGTAGACTCAAAGATGACATCCCGGGTGGAACACAAAGGTAGACTCAAAGATGACATCCAGGGTGGAACACGAAGGTAGACTCAAAGATGACATCCAGGGTGGAACACGAAGGTAGACTCAAAGATGACATCCAGGGTGGAACACGAAGGTAGACTCAAAGATGACATCCAGGATGGAACACAAAGGTAGACTCAAATATGACATCCAGGGTGGAACTTGATGGTAGACTCAAAGATGACATCCAGGGTGGAACACGAAGTTAGACTCAAAGATGACATCCCGGGTGGAACACAAAGGTAGACTTAAAGATGCTTTTAAAGTGGAAACAGAAGTCAGACAAGGTTGTCTCTTGTTCCCCTTTCTATTAATCCTTGCCACTGACTGGATAATGAAAAAAATCCACTGACAAAAAGAGGAACGGGATACAGTGGACACCATGGGAACAAATGAATGACCTGGACTTTGCAGATGACATTGCACTTGTGTCCCACCACCAACAACAAAGTCAGGAAAAGACAAACGATGTAGCCAACATTTCAGCACACCTCGGACTCAAAATAAATAAAAGTAAGAAAAGCATCATGAAGGTAAACTCAGCCAACAAAGAAATTATCTCTCCGGCATGAAATGCACTGGATGAAGTGGAGGCCAAAGGCAGCACTATTGACATAAAAGATGGAGCCAAAGCGAATGTAATAACAAGAATTGGAAAGGCTAGGTCAACGTTTGTGCTATTGAAAAAAATATGGGAGTCAAAGGAAAACCAAAGTCAATACTTTCAACACAAATTTCAAAACACTCCTACACTATGGAGCCAAAACTCGGAGAACAACAGTGAGCATCACGCAGAAGAAACATACCTTCATAAGCACTTGCCTTAGAAAGATACTGAACATCAAATGACCAAACATCATCACCAACAAAACTTATAGGAAAGGACATACCAGGAGCCTATTGCTGAAGACCTCATAAAGAAAAGATGGAGGTGGATAGTACATACTCTTCATAAATCCCCATATAACATCACCAGACAATAGCTAACATGGAATCCACAGGGAGAAAGAAAGTCAAGCAGGCCTAAGAATACATGGAGACGCAAGCTAGATGCTGACACACAAAGTATGGGATACACCTGGAAGCAACTGGAAAGGAAAGCATGGGATCAAGATGAATGGAAAATTCTTGTAGACGGGCTATGCCTCAGACGGGGTAAAAGCCATAAGAAAACCCTAGAAAGCCAGGCCTATGAACTGTGAAAAGAGTTGAACTGAAATATAATGGACTGTAACACCACTGACAGGGCTTTCTGAAATAATTCAACTAGGTGTTGCGTCATACAACAGTCAATGCACGCCTGAGCTCAGGACTTGATGCGCATGGGCTGGCTAAAGAGATAAAAAATCTTAATTGCGGATATTGAGCACAAAGCATGTAGGATCAGCTGCCTCAAGGGTGTGTTCATTGCCTCCAAGTACCAAAGGGTGGACAATCATGTTGAGTGTGCAGTGAACAAATTTTAAGAATAGCACTAAAAGGATAGATACCCAAGAAGACTTGATTTAATCAGGGGTGTCAAACTTAATCGCTCAGCGGGCCAAATCTCTAATCATACGTAAGATTGCAGGCAGACCAAGATAAAAATTCAATAAGGGGATAATGAAACCTTTTTCAAACATTAATATAGATTAAAACAAAACAAAAAGTTTGAATAATAAAAAATCCTTGGCATACCCATTTCTGCTCTTATGTCATTTTGTCAGAGCTGGGTGTTTAACATCTTTTCTTAGCTACAAGTTCATTTATATTGGGAGTATTGCTCTGTGTCATTGAGATTCCCATGATGGACTACAAGTGTTCATCAGTGAGAAGACTCCTGTGTGATGTTTTGTTAATCTTCATCACAGAAAACAGCTGCTCACAAAAATATGTGCTACCAAACATGCTCAAGGTTCGAGCCACATGTAGACCAAGCTGGGGCATCTCTTCAGGAATGAAACAAGTGAACTGTGCAGATCCCACAGTGTCATACTTTGCCTTTAGTGTCCTATTACACTGCAGCTCTATTAGCTCCATCTGGAAATTTACAGATGCAGTTTCCATGTCTATGACAAATGGGGTAAGAAACTGCTCAAAATTAATTTTCTGTGCTTCAAAGTCACTAGAGCGCCGTGCCAACTCAACGAGAAGTAAACAAAATTTTTCAGCAAAGTGTGCATTGGGAAACACCATAGCGTTGACTTGGTTCAACATTGCTTGGCAACAAGAAAAGTGAGACAAGTTGCACTGGTGCCTTTGTGTCTCCCGCAGATTCACTTGAAATGACTTTGACTCTGATAAAGTTGACGGTTTGTGTTACAGTGCTCATTACACCTTCCATCTTGATGACTTTATCCCACACAGTGATCCTTGGTGCATGATGCAGTGATATGCTATCAATTCAAAAGTACAGTTCTCCTGCATCTTTAACCAACTAGTCCACTTTTTTATCGCTGGTGCTCAATCTGTTGTAAGTCCAACAAGTTTGTCCCAAGGCAGGTTCATGTTGGTTAAACTTTGACATACGTTGTCAAAAATATCTTTTCCTGTTGTTGCCCCATGCATGCACGTCTTGTCCAATATTTCTTCTGTAACCTTCAAACAGGAGTCCACTCCACCAGACCTGTTTACCCTCAAACTCTTAGAATCATACAATATCTTCACAAACTCTTTCAATACATTATCTTAATAGTACAAAATAAAAATACAGTATATATAATGTTTACATCTCCAAATCGTACATTGTACGCCAAAATCGCAAGAGTAAAAAGGTCTGCTCCACGGATGAAGATGGCGAGTTGTGAAGTGTCAGTCGAAAGCAAGTGAGAATGCAACAAAGTCTTAGCCTTTTTCCATCAGCTGTGTTGTCGCACCAGTGGCCATCTCACAAACCCGATCAGCAACCGTATTTCTGCTAAGGCTTACATTTGCAAACATCTGCTTTTTGTCTGAACACAAGACACCACACACTTTCATCATGCAGCACTTCAGAAACTCTCCTTCTGTAAATGGTAGGCCTGATTTTGCGATCTCCCAAGCCACAATAAAACTTGCTTTCACAGCAGCTTCAGTTTGTGATTTTGCTTTGGTGAAAAACGTCTACTGTGATGCTATATTTCTCTTCAATTCTTCTACCTTCTGTAGCTTCTGCTCTGCATTCAGGCTTTTTAACTTGTCTAGATGTTTAGTCTCGTAGTGCTGTCTCAGATTATATTCAGAGATCACGGCCACATTATCTCCATAAATAAGACACACAGGTTTACCGCCAATATCAGTTAACATTATATTCAGCCTCCCAGCGGCTTTGAAAAGCCTATGTTTTCAGAATCAACTTTTCTCTTGGCCATTTTAAGGCTAGCTTCAATTTTTAAAAAAGGTTGTGCATCTACCGACAGAAGCTTGATTGATAAGATGTAGGCCGTAACGAAAAAATCGATGCAATATCCAGGCACTACACTTCTTTCATTTCTTATGCGCCAATCCCAAACGAATTACCGATGGTTACTAGGTTACTGTAACGATGAACATCCACTCACTACACAACTTTTATTTCTGCTTATTCTGATCGAAGACAGAACGCTCTCAGTTAGCCTATCGTTCGGCAAGGCTGCTAATTAGGGAATTTGATTTGCACTTTATATTGCAGGGTAATTAAAAAATATTTTTGCCTAAAATTCTCTCTCGGGCCAGATATAATTATACGGCAGGCCAGACGTTGCCCACGGGCATTGAGTTTGACACGTGATTTACTTTATTAGATTTTTGGTGAGCTCAGACTGGGAACGAAAGCACACTATGGTACATGTGTACTTGTACAGTAGGCAATGGATCTACACTAGCTTTAATTCAATAATACCACTGCACGAAAATGGGTACGTGTTTCATAAACAAAACAATTTCTCTTAAATATTTTTCTCTGCAATGTTTAGTCATCATGGATACCAACCACAGTCACCTTTGATGACCATATTATACTAAATGTTTATTCAAAGCCCAAATATAATTTCTTTTTTTTTTTTTTAACTATTTTTTTCTTTTTTTTTTACCTTCATAGTATTTGCAAATCCTTTCTGCCTTTTCTTTTCCATCTTTAGCTGTAGCCAGTTCTTTTCGAAGTATGTGCACAACATCTAAGCAAAATAGACATATATAACCAATTTTATCAAATTTTAATGTAAGAGATGGCAAACAATTCAAAACCAATTAATTTGATTTTTTTTTTTTTAAATGACAGCACTTTTAAAACTAAGGTTTTTCCTCCATAGTTTCTTTCATATGTCAGAATAAACTGAAGTAATATCTGGATGTTACCCTTCAATAAAGTCCAATAAATAAATTTCTCTATTACATACTGAACAAAAATATTATTAATCAATCCTGATCTAATCAGTTTTATAATTTTCAATATTTCTCAACATGTCAGTCATTAAACTTTACTAAATTTTTTAAAGTTTAAACTTTATTAAATATTAAAAAAGTCCAAACTTTCCATTCCTTTTCTACACCTCTAATATGAGTTTATTTGATTAAAACATTTTTTTTTCATGTGAAGCATCACAGAATTTCAATTTTTCAGTTAAAAACAGTTACCCTACCTAAAAGAGCTTTGTTCTGTCTGCGAAGCTTGGCATAATCTTTTTTCCTAGTCTTTTCTGAGGTAAGTGGAGTTAATGGGGGAGCAGCTGCAAAAACGAAATATTATTACAGGTATATTATAGATGAGTGAAGACCATTGCAATGTAATATATTTATGTAGACATTTTTTAAAATAACAAACCGTTTTGTGTGGGTATTACCATAAACCAACTCTGTCAATGATCCTACACCCGGAAGTTTCTTACCATGTCTAAAAGTTTCAAACAGTAAAAAGTTTAACTATTTATCACTAACTTTATAAGTTATAAAATCTGACAATATTGGTCTTAGGACAAAGCATCATTATCAACATTCACTAAATTAATAAAGAAATGATAAAATCTAACCAAGGAATCACATCAAACAAACAATGACCATTGTTTGCCAACTGTCAATATTTGTCATTATTTTCTACTCCAATTAAATATTTTAGCCTCCTGTGTGGAGTTCATTTTTTATTAACTTTTTAAACATATCATTCATACCTAAAGGGTCTGTACTTGAAGAATTCATGATTTCCATATCATCAAGAGTTCTGTCATGATGTAAATTTATTTTGAATACAGGAGGCTGACCAAAGGATGAAGTAACAGCTGATGGAGCAGGTAAAGACGTACTTGATTCTGGGTGCTTTTTTTTACCACTTGATTCTGTGTGTGAGCCCAGAGATCCATCATAACTATTGTCTGTGGCCTCTGATTTTGAGATGACCCTCACTCTGAATCCATCCACCAGAGTCAAATCACTGAACTCTGATGGAGGTTTAGGAGCTGAAACACTACTGGCAGGGGGGACATTTGTGGTTTCAATAGTCTCAGATTCTGTATTAGAAGCTGGTGCAAAGTTGTTGCTCACAACCTTTTTGATGTCAGCTTTTGGCACTACATCAGACATGTGCTCTATTGTATTATTGTTATCAGTATCATCTGTTACTGACTGGCCAGGTGATTGGTTATTATTTTCAACATCCACTGCACTGGGATTGTCACTGACACTAACATCATTACATTCAGTTACTGTGTTAAAATTGGGATTAGGATCATTAAAAGATTCTGGAAATACAGATGATGTTTTTTCAAAAGTCAAAACACTGCTTTCAGAGTTAACATCGGTGACATCATTCAATACAGATTTCATTGACAGACAGGCAGTCATTTCCCCACATGCCTCTCCTGTGGAGGTTGTGCATGATCTTAAATCACTAGACAGCTGTGCACTTGAATTGGACAAATCCGTATTTCTCTTGGTCTCCAGTAGCTTGTCTCTGAGCTTCAAGCCATGGACTCTCAAAAGGAAATTCTTAGCATTGGAGGTGCCACAATGAAGTTCATCAGACACATCTTTGCCAGTGGCCTTATCTGTGTTGAAGAGTTCAGTGTTTTCTTTGAAATTTGCACAGTCATTACTGACATCAATTTCAGATTGACTGGATGAAGTCTCTGTTTCAGTAGTTTCAGGCCTTTTATCTTGATCAGACTCAGCATCACATGACTGTGCAGTTGCAGTGGTGTCTGATAAATTATCAGACATTTCCATTGGTTCTTCACTGCAGGAAATATCAGACCCTGACACACTGGGACCTACGTTCACTTGGTTCTGTGAATCTGACACACCTGGTAATTCAGGCATGTCACAATTTGCAATACTGGGGCCATCAATAGCATAATTTGTAACAGTGACAGGAATAATATCTTTAGGAAAAGCTGCATCATGAGAATCTATTTTACTGGTGAGTAAATCTGAACTCTCATTGGCTCTTGATTCTGATCTTATTTTAATATCATTCAAAATGCCTATCGTTAATTTTATTGTATCAGTCGATGAGTTATTCAATGAAATATCATCAACTCTTCTACTATCATTTGCGAGATGCTCTTCTTCATTGAAAATAACTGTGGCACTATTTTCTTGGGAATCTGAATCATCACTGAGGCTATTTGCTCCGGGTGACTCAACTGACACCATCTTCTGTTCCTCATTTAATGGTGGAAAATCACACCTCCTTTGTTTTGGAGAACTGCAGAGATCATCAAAGATTTCTTGCTTACAAATAGGCCTTTTTGAGGAACCATTTCCAACAATAGGAGCTACATTAGAAGTAATATAATCTTCCTCTGTTATGTGTGCTCCTATATCATTTCCTTTGATCAGGCACTGCTGAACTGAGCGTAATCGCGGAAAATTGTTATTGATTCCATTCAAGAAATCTCCAATCTCGGCTGTACACGAGTACAAGATATAATTATCTTTTTCCAGTCTCTCATAGATATCAGTGTCACTAAAGATTCTGCAAAGGTCTTCCACAACAAGATAGTTCTCATTTTCGTGAAGGTAAGATCTGACCTGCCCTTGTATGGTATTGCACAGACCTCCAGTCATTGGTACATCTGGACACTTTTTAATAATATATGGGTCTTCCAAGGCTTCCACTATGATTAAATCAGCACTGTCATCCAGGTCTTTGTCTTTCCCATACAACTCAGTGTGATCACTGCCAAGGCTTTGGTTATCCTTTTCCCTGTGGTGCCTTGAAATATGTGCCAGTCTGTTTGAGCCTGTGTGGTCCTTGGTGACGTCCTCAACCCCGCTCTGCCAGTGATGATCAGTTTTTGAAGAGACTCTGCCATAATTATCCTCAAATGACTTTTTCTCCTTTTTGACCCTCTTGAACAATTCCAGGGGTAGAGTTCTCTTTATCAGTGGCATACTCACTGTATCAAGGTCCACTGCTTGGTGAGACAGCTCAACAACACAAGTGGCACTGGAGCATGATGTAAGTTTGTACATGTGATGGTATACTCTTCTAGCATCATCAAGGTTGATGGCCAAAACAGAGTTTAAAACAGAGTAGCCATTTTTCTCTAAGAAGGCTGTAATTTTGTCCTTCTGGGGGTGATCTAAAACTCTTTTCTTAATCCTAAGAGCACGATCAATGCAGTTGTTTATTGCTCCCATGCCCTTATCAGGAAAACATTCGAACTGAAACTGGCATAGCAGTAAAACTGCTTCGTTGTGTGATTTAAGACTGATCAGTTTATGACCATGAAACATGACATAACGTAGGTCTTGCGTGGCCTGGTCGCTCAGATTTAAACTTTTGGATTTCTTCCTCTCTTCAGGGTGTGAGATTCCTTTTTGATTTTTGACAAGATCTGCATTTACTTTTGGTGCTGGCATCGCTTTGCTCTTATTACTCTTTTGGGTGCTGTGTGAGTTCCCACGGCAACCAGAGTTAGCAACGGTTGAGGGCTGTGCTGTGCTAACTGAGTTTTGGGTGGACTTTGAATTGACTAAATTGGCTTTTGTTTTTCCTTTACCTGGAACCCTACCAACAACCTGTCCTGCTTTCCACATATGAAATACTCTTTCTCTTGCTGAAACACTCTTTTTATCAGTTGGGCCAGAGTCTTGCTTGTGAAATTTTCTAGCTGGCTGTTTTGACACACTGAACACACTGGCTGTCATTTGCTTTCCTAAAAAGGATTTATCATTATTCTCCGTTAACTGCGCCCGTCGACTGGCTACTGGGGGTTGGCAATTTGTGGAATTATTGGAACAGAGAGTATCCTTCTCTTTTTCAGTGGGCAATGACTGTTTGCAGGTCAAACCACCAGCATTAGAAAAAGAAGATGTAGCACCTGGTGCAGGAGATGATTGCATGATAACACTTGGTTCAGATGTCCCATTGGATACAGCATTTTTATGATGTGTCATGCCACTAACTGAGTTATTGAGTGCTTGGGGCTTGCTTTTAGTCAAAGTTAAATTATCCATTATTTCTTGCTTCAACTGAATGGATGCTAGAGCCGCTGCCTTTGTAGTATTGACACTTGCTGGATTAGAGACAAGCTGGTTAGATTTAGCATGACCAGAATTGCTCCCGCTCTTCAATCCATGAGCTTCCTTAGCTGACCGGTGACTCGCAGGATCTGTTTGTGGCATTTGTCGAAACATGCTTGACTCCATTGCCGTATCAGCTTGCATAGCTTCAACATCTGATTGGTAAGATGATGTTAACAAAGGATCTGAGCACTTGTACCACTGAATAGGATTTGCATCCTCATGTGTTCCCGTTTTAAAATTATGGGGTCTTCCCCCTCTACCCCTGGCTCTTGTGGATGCTCCTCTGCCTCCCTTCATTCCACCATTTGACTGGTCACTAAGTAAAAATACAGAGTACATAGAATATGGATTGTTTGTTGGCATAGTGTCACTAGCTGCACTCAGAGATGCTGCATTTCTTCTTTCCAAGGATGAGAGTGGGGCACTTGAGTTTGTAAAATTATTTATAGGGGGTGTTAAGTACAAAGGATTTTCTCGACTAGTCTTTTGGGTTTGTGGAATATAGGGATACATAGAATCAATAGCATCAAAGGGTGGAGGTAAATTATTCGCTGCACGAGAAATTGTAGGGCTGTGAATAGTTGACATCTGACTTAGTGTGGGAGCTCTGTTGACAGAACTGCTATTTGACAAGTTTGAATTTTGTGGCAAGTAAGGCCTGTTTGCAGGCAAAGTAGTTCTGTGTGTCAGAGCTGGCACACTTCCACCAATTTGATATCTGCTCTGCTGTTTACTACTGCTGGATGTTACTGTCTGCTGACTTGATGCTGATGATGTGGGGTAAATGGATGACTTTGGATGATTCTGAGTTCCTGTATTTATCTTTGATTCTCTTTGAATTCCTCTTTGACCTGATGTCAGATGATTCATAAAATGACCCCTTGTGTCATCTTCTTTCGATACTGCCTTGCTGTTTGATACTCTCATATTTGAATGCTGACTAGGAGCAAGAAATGACTGTGGACTAAACTGTGTTATATTGTTAAAAGAATTATTGCCAACTTTAGTCATGTGCATATTTCCTAAAGGTGGGTCATTTCTTTGTGAACATTGACTTGATGGGTAGGAAAAATTTGAAGCACCAACAGGTGAACCGAAATGCTGCTGAGGGGTAATGGGTGAATGTTGAGGACTTTGCCTTTGTGAACTGTACATGGAAGGGCTATGTGAGGGAGCTCTTGGTACTGAATTCAGCTTGCCATGTACAACAGTTGGTGCTGGCAACTGCTGCGGGCTTTGCCTCTGGCCTCTCAGCATGGGGGACAACTGTGAACTTTGCTGTGGGGGAAGCATTGATGGAGTTGAATCAGCAACAGAGATAGCATATTGCTGAGTTGACAGGTGAGCAGGTGGTGGAGGGCATAGAGATGGGTAGAAGTCCTCTGTCAAAAAGGAATGAGAGTAGCCTGGCTGAAGGTATCTGTCCGTCAGTCCTATATCATAATTTTGTGTCAATGAATACTGAATGCCAGCAGAATTTGTGTATGAAGGTGGTGGTGGTCTGAATTCTAATTGACCAGCTGAGCTTATTGCAGTTGGCTGGCCGTAAGGTGGAAATACTTGCTCCATTGTATTTTGGGTTGACAACAAGCTGCTGCTTGCCAGATGAAATTTAGACAGATAGTCTTGACCTATGACTTTATCTCTTTGAGACGAAATATGATCCATCTCATAAATAAATTATGTATTCCATCACCTGAAAGAGAAAGTGTTGAAAAATCTTAAATACATCTGTTCCTTTTGGAACAATTTCAAAGAGTGATGTTCATCATATATTTGAATTTAATTATGCTTCATTGTTAAGCCAACAGAGCATGTGTGTTTTCTTTCAAGAATCTAAATTTAACGCATTTTTTTTAAACACTAGCAATTCTACATAAATTTGCCTCTAGATAGATGTTAAAACAAAAATCTATTGCTTAAAAGATAGTATAGCTCCATAAATAAATGCAAATATTTTTTTCTAGAATAGTTGCTTTTATATTTTTTTTGAAACACTAGCAATTCTACATAAATTTGCCTCTAGATAGATGTTAAAACAAAAATCTATTGCTTAAAAGATAGTATAGCTCCATAAATAAATGCAAATATTTTTTTCTAGAATAGTTGCTTTTATATTTGCTTTTTTTACAATAGCTACTGGTAGTCTTATTAAAAATAATGTTGATTGCTGCTGTTCATTGGTATTACTGTTGGCTGTATTTTGTTTCCATAAACCATAAACAGGTATTTTCTTACATTTACAAATATGAACTAACCACAGCTAGAATTGTTTTTTCAATGTGCTGTAGTCTTTTTAATTTAGAAATTTAGGCCTATTACTTTCCTGCAATTTAGAAGAGTTAATTGTACCTGGTGAAACTGACTAAATAATGTGTAGGTTTTGCCACAAAAATTTTTTAAGTAACAATCAGTATCACTAAATAGTAACAATGCACAGAATTTAAGTACTGAAATTTCCTATTGCGGCTTAGACTCCGCCTTAAATATAATCTATGGATTAAGTAGGCATAGACTACACTTGAATAACACTAACAGTGAGTGAGCATAATGGTAAGCCCAATGGATCTTATTTAGGCCTATCAGCCCATGTTTTGAATGCCCAATCATCATTAACTTGATTATTTAAATTTAACCAATCCACAACACTTGTTTCCCACAGCCGTCATCTTTGTTGCTGTGCCATGGCAGCCAAGATGGCGGCTGTGTTAAAAAAAAGTAGTGCAAACACACATCTGCTAAAATGAGGAGGGGACAGAGAGAATGTGTTGTTTCAACTACTTACTGTGATAAACAAAAATAGGAACAAAATGTTAAAATTCAATTCCCCCCCCCCCCCCCCCATCACTTTCCCAGGGTAATTTCAGCCAGCACATTAATTTTTTGGGAAAAGTAGCAACTTTATTGTATCCCCCTAGATATGGGTCAAGAAGTGTCAATGACCTACAGTCACTCCCTTCCCTCAACAAAAACATGTGTGCTAAAAAATGTATCCTCGTTTTAAATATTATAATTAATAATGCAATTAAAAGATTAATTTAAAACATTCCATCGGCGTATTAATATTTTTAAAAAGACAAGTTAACACTAGTAACAATCCAACAATAAGCAAAGGGAGGGAATCCCACACAGAAACTCAAAGTGGCGTGGATCGCTTAAATTAACCTCAGGTTCATTTAGCCTCAGATCTCTTCCTATTTTAAAACATTCAGTTAGTCTAATTGTAGATTTATTATTGAAAGGCTAATCAATATGAATATGTGCGTACTTTGCACACAAAGGGCAGGTCAATCAAACAAAGCATAGTGTCTGATACCACAGACCTATTTTGTCCCTTATTTAGCATATAGTAATAGTTAAACATCATAGACTTAGTGGCATATCTTGACTTAAATTAATGCTGCCCTGCGTAAACTTCAAAAAGTACATCCCCTCTAACACTAAAGAGGAGACTATCATTTTAAAAAAATCAAATCATACTTTTTAAAATTTTAAACCAGGACATTTAAAATTGTTTTGTCCACGTGTCAATAAAAACAATAATTTGTGATTATCCTGAGAACTCTACGGCTGATCTTGGATACATAGTACATTTCTAATGTATACCTGGACATCATTATGATATTGATTCAGAAGTACTTAATTTCGATTAATTAACTTCAACAAACTAATTGGCCCTAGCCCCAAAAATTATTTTTGGCCTAACCTTTTAGTAGGTACTTCACTAAAAATTTCAAAGTTGTTATACATTCATGAAACTTATATCATTAGAAAGTACTCAGTATTTTCTTTCCATTGATAACAAGTTTATCTTTTTATCTTAATTAGAAAAAAAGTTATCACATTTTTAGTGTCAGAATTTTTCCTTATATAGCCTTAGTAAATAATTTCCAAAATTCTGTGATAGAAAAAAGACATCTTTAACACTCAAAATGCGATCACTTTTTATTCAGCAAAGTTAAAGCTTTGAAATTTGCAATGCATTTCAATTAAATTTTGAGCTTTAATAATAAATAATTGTTATTCAAATACTACAATAGGGTAATGTGTGAGATTTGACGAACAGAGGGTACGTAAATTTCATTAAAAACATAGCGTGTGATCTCATTACTCAAAATGCCATAACTATTTTACCTGTAGAGTTAAAGCCTTCAAATTTTCAGCATAGTTTAATTAGGCATTGGGCTTTTAAAGTAATCTGTTTAAATATTAATACATCAATTAATGAATTAAATCAGTGGCATTTGAGCAACAGACAGTGAGTAGATTTAATTTTAAAAGTTACTCTGTTTGTGTATTAAAAATACAAATTGCATAAATATTACCAATTCAACCTATTGAGTTAATGCACACAATCATCTAGTAAATTAATATTAATTCTGTGAATAATTCCACAGAAAAGATTTATAAAATAATGTATTATAATGGATAAATCGTATTGAAAAAATGCTGATCACATGTCAAAATCCAATCATCCATGATCCAATCCATGAAATTGATAATCCAAGTAGCCATGCTATTTGAAATCCACAGTACAAATGATGATCACTTAATATTATATTAGTACTTCTATAGGTCATTGAAAGGCTGAATAAAAGAGATATATTTTCTTTCATAGAAAGATGATGTTCAAAAGTAATATTTTGGCAGAGTCAATGGCATTCTGGATCAAATTTGTAACAGTTAAAGATACCATTGGTAATGATTTAGTTTATGACACAGATGAATGGAGTCCTGAGTGTATGTACTTTGTGTCAATATTGTTGCTTCCACCCATCATGATGATAAATTATAGGAGTCCTGAGTGTATAAATTTCCATATAAATGCAGTAGTTGGTGAAAAATATCAATAGCTGTTAAGATTATGCTCTGGTGGTCCATATTGTGGTAGATTGTCCAGTTGGACATGCAGTCACACCTGATAGGTTTTTGTTAAAACAGGAAAGACCGGTACAAAAATTTAAGTGCAATTGTTCGTGCAGACACATTTTGGCACTAGATGCCATATTCCAGAGATGTATCTCGAGATGTTTTGCTGAAGCAACACTTGGCACAGCTGGGCAGTCAGTACCTCTAAGTAGGAGAGGCATTATTTCCACTTCATCGCAACACAAACTCCTTGTAATTCATTGTGGTCTAGTAGTCCAGAAAAACTGAAATAGAGATAGAAAATCGATTTAATTAAACACAAAATAAGCATTTTAACATAAGTAACAAAAGGTACCTTCTTTATTTAATTTATATATGTCTTTCATTTAAGATTGTGTAATTCAGTGTGATAATATTGTAATTAAATTATTTATTATTAAGACAATGGTGATTTTACTTATGCTGTATTTCCAGTATGCATAGATATTATACTGTGATGTTCTAACATTATTTTTATTCAGATTAAGTCAAGTAGTTTGTAGTTCATATCCATTAAGGAACATTATCAGATATAAATTTACTTATATAAAAAAGTCTAGTAGTCTTGATGAGTCCTCATGACAGCTCGTGCATCAACTGGAATGGACAGGCATGAATCTTAGGTAGTATTAGTACTAGAAGCACAGCTCCTCCAAAAAGTGGTGGGGACATGGCTGTATATTTAAAAGAAAGAAAATGTTGAGGAATTTAAGAAATTTAAGAAATTAAGCTGTTGTTTTAAAAATAAAGTTATTCAATGAACAGAATTAAAGATTGGGCTAAATCTGAAAAGTCAAATATAATAGCTTTGAGCTAAAGCAGTAAAGTTTAGAGGCAAGAAAGGAATATACATTTTTTTTAAAATAGAGTGTACAAAAGGAAAATGAAAAAAGAGTGATAGGTTATTTAGAAGACAAAGCTAAATAAAATAATGAAATTTAATAAAAATAGAAATAAATGATGACGTTTATAGTAGCTGCTGAGCCTACTACTACTACAACTATTCATTGTTTACCGTATCTAATCTGGGTTTAGATAAATTATATCATTAAGGGCATTATTTAATTTCCAAATATATAATTCACTGTTGTGAAGTTTTATAATTATTACAATTACAATACAATATTTTAATTACTCAAGTTGATATATCATATAGTTTTGACATGGTTATCTCGGATGTAAATTTTATTATTAAAAAAATAATAATTATATTTTATAAAATATTTATAAATTTGTTTTCATTCATGAAATAAAAACAAGTTTAATAATAAAGATGAACTGGATTGCTTTTATAGACATTAGATTTATAAAGATTTTTAAATACTTATGCAATAAGAATAATAACAGAAAATGGTTATCACTTCCGGTTCATTTGGCCTAATCGATAACTGGTTACAAATTATGCTCCGATTCACACCCTGTCTATACAATTTACTGCCTATCTAAATGTCATTATGTTTCTTCTTTCAGTTAGTTAAATCCTTCATACATTGAATACAAAAGAATTAATTGGAATACTATTATGGTTTCCGAAATATAGCGCTAGCAAACTTACCTGTTCTCTCAACGAAAGATATCTGCCACAAACCCTGTCAGTCCGGTGATAAAAGTTTATGTTGTAATGATTGTCCTCCTCGTGTGCACAAAACAGACTATAGGAAGTTCATTGACTCTCCCTTACGTAGACAAAGGAAACTAAATCTAAATATGACCCCGTGACCTACCGGCATTGACCGGTCATCGGATCATGGTCTGTTTCCGACATCCGAAAAATCAATCGGCACGCGCCGCTTAGTAAAGTACCTACTTTTAGTCTTAAACTGTGGTGTAGGCTTACTATTTCAGCTCAGGACTGAAGTAAAAAAAACAGTGCTGTCCTGGCAAAGTATATTAGTTAACAATTAATAGTACAAATGGACACTGCCTAATTCCTAATTCAAAATAATAAATGTGTGTGAGTAGGTACTTTGACACAAAATTTAAATATTGTCCAATTGCCATAAATGATACATCATTTTAAAGGGCTAGCTATAACCTTTACAACACCAATTTCATCTTTCTATCTTTTATAGGAGTGGAGTTATGATTTTTATGGTGATTTTTAAACACCCCCTTCTTTATCTTAGTATTTAACTGAAAAAACGTGTGACCCACTTTCAAAATTTCTGCCTTATTTTACCCAAAACTTTTTGATTTTAAAAGAAAATGCCACCAAATGTTCAGGAGACATTCTCAATGCAATATACAGTACAATAAACAACAAAACTTTTATATAACATTAAGACTTTTATTTTTTTAATAAATTTATTTGTGGGTATGTTCAGGAAAAAAATTAACAGAAAAATTGGGAAAATCATTATTTATACAGGAAAAAACGAAAAAAACAAACATATTTATTGAATTTTAACTAATTTTATTATGCTTGTGTTAAATTTTAAATCATTATATTTATAAAAAGGTAAGTAGTCTTTTTATTTATAAAATTGAACGCAAGTAATTATAAATAAAAATTGCTCAAATAAAATCATCCATGATGATAATATGATTATAATGATGAGACTAATTCATTAAAAAATGTTATTTGATATATTAAATAATTGTCTATGTACAGCTTTTCTATGTCCTAATAAAAATATAATTGCTATGATGATGTTGTTTGAGTCTTATTAATTTGATGTATTTTAATAAAACTGTTATTGTTATTTATAGAACTTATAGGCTTGTAATAGAATTAGATTAAGAAAAACTAAGCTTAGGCCTAAATAGACTATTATAGTATTATAATAACAGTTGTTTATAATTATAACTAATAATGATAAGTAGGCATAATTTTAGTAATATTCTCTGAAATAATTAATAAGAGAAAAACGATTATTATTATTGATATTACTGTTGTAAAACTATTAATTAAATATTGATTCAATAATGAAAAAACGATAAACTGTTTACCTGTACCGTACACAAATTTTAACGTAATAAATAAAACTTAAAACCAACCCTTGGTTACTACATCAACTTTTCAAGTTTGGTTATAATCTTTTCTTAAAATGATTCATTTTAAATGTCTTGTAATTATTTAGATGTTTAAGGATTTTACATTAACATATCACAGTGATAGCAGCCATTTCCGGCTTCTAGATCAAAATAAAAAAATAATGATAATTTCATACCCCCCCCCCCTTCTTCGCGGGTTGCATAACTTTTTATCGAGAGCTCAACGATAATTACTCAAAAACTGAAAAAACTCTTACAATTAATGTAGATTAGGGAGCACTAAACCTTATTCTGGTGGCTTTACTAGTAAAAAAGTATTTATGCGATTTATATACTAACCGATTCATTATAATAACAGACCTGTTTACCCTCAAACCACTAAAATCGTACAATCTGGTCTCAAAATCGTACAATACAATATCTCTATAGTAAATAAATAAAACTACAAAATATTTCCATATATTTTGTAAATGTCGCTGACTGGATCTTATAAAATACCGGTATGCCAAAATCCAACGCTCCACAGCAGAACAGTTGGATCATCTCTTTTATTTAAAAAACCATCTCTAGTTTTACAATCGCCGCGGTTCTGAGGAACAAAATAATTCTGTAACAAAACTACGTCACACGCTTGGTAGCAGTCAAAGGCGATGGCCGGTGAAGTTGTTGCTAGGGCGACCAATCCAAATATTACTGTTGACGCAGCAGCCAGCTAGTTCCCTGTGATCCCGTCAATACGATATGTCGGGGTTATTTATTTATATCCTTTGACACTCCCACCAATCCCCTACCCATGCGTGTCTCGTATGCCACAATTTCCGTCATCAACAACCCCACCTCCCCCAGTCCCCATGAGTGCTTTCGAAATATAATAAGGATGGTCCCAACTTTAAAAAAAAAAAAATCCAACCAATCGTTTTTCTCGTTCATATTCACTGCCAGATCTTCATTAGAGAGGGCTAAAACGTCCAAACCCGAAAATTTATTAATGTTTTTAAATCGGGGGAAAATTTTCTCCACCGGGTCTCTGAAAATCGTAGTTTTGGCGGGTCTTGGCGTACAATCGTAAAAGACATCTAAAAATCGTACATTGTACGCCAAAATCGTAAGAGTAAACAGGTCTGTAATAATACTGCCCGTAATGCACAAAAAAATCGTAGCATAAATCAATATATGACCGGAACACAAAAACTGATACGTCAGTGATGAGAAAAGCAATTATTTTATAAACAAAGGTGACGTAGTATGCAATTTTCCAATATTACCATGTAGCTGTACGCCATATTGCAGAACACGTTTTTTCGACATTTTAGGAACAGTGCGTGGACAAGTACAAGTATTGTTACCCCTAGTGTGAGTGAAGTGTTTGTTAGGCCTACCTAGGAACCCCAGAAGTGCTGCCTGGGGCGGTCACCTCCTCCTCACCCCCTTGGTTCCTCACTGCATTGAGTCGAAGACCATGATATATAATAACAGTAACTGACTATACTTTATTCATTGTATAAAAAAGTATATAGTTAATGACAGCTAATAATCAGGGCCAGGGTTTAGTTTAGATACATGATGAATGATGAATGATACTGAATACTGATACTGGCTTTGAGGTGGAGGCAAAGCAGCAAAATAAGGCGAGGCAGAATTACATTTAAAGTTATTGCTTGAACCCTTTGTCAGTATAAGCCTACCTGTTTAAATTTAAAAGTGCTAGTACCAATTTCGTCTTTCTTGTACATTTTTTTAAATTAGTTGTTTTTTTTCTTCTTCTTGCTTGTAAACATTCAGACATTAATGCAGAACTAATACAACCAGATTTTTAGGAGAAGATATTTCATTATTTAGTTGTTTCTGTTACTTTATTGATTAATCCTCTTTAGAACAATGCGATAGGATCGAAATAATGCCACAAAAAATGTTGAATATATTTCATTGATGCAAGAAATATTTTTTAAACTAAAAATTCCTGTGTTTCCATAAATGTGTACATAGTGCACTAAACCGAAAACAACATTAACAATTTACTATTAGGCATACTTGTAATAAGCTTCGATTGACAAAACTAAAATGAAAGATATGTACAAAATTTATTAGTCCATCTTTATAAATCAGAGAAAGTGCTCTTCTTTTATAATAAAACAAAGTAAATATTTTACGTTAACATTACGATATGCTGGATTATGATTAAGAAAACAATACATCTCATTGATGACTGAGGAAAAAAAAGCATAATGGGTATAGTCAGAAAAAGTCAGTCAGTCTCATCAGAGTCAAAGTTGACAGTGCGGGAGCAGTGGCGGCTCCCCAAGACTTAATTTAGTGGGGGTGCTGCTTAAGAAAATGTTTAGGAATTACCGGTATTTTTTTTTTTTTTAAATGTGCAAAATGAAATACATATTAACGGAGAAAGAAAACCTTTATATATATATATATATATANTATATATATATATATATATATATATATAATATATATATAAAGCGATAAAAGCCTGACAAACACCTGTCAACTTACTTATAAACCTATAACTATTACGATTACCATCAGAATCAATCATCAATGCCATCATGATGTACAGTTTTTCACATCCACCCCCCACCCCCATCCCCGTGCGCAATTGTGGAACAACCAAACACCACTTCATTGGACAGATGAAATACACAGTCACAGTTGCGTGCAAGCATTTTTTAAAGGCTGCGGCTATTCGGACCCGGGTCCGCGTTGAGATAGTTTGGGTTGATTCAAAAATATTTTAAAATTATTGCAGGGTTTGTAAGACAAAATTTGGTATCAAATGAAAGATAATTGAATGGACTATATGTTTGTAAACTTACTTCTTAAGTTTAACTAAAATAAACTACCACAAATGACACCCGAATAGCACTTAGTCAAAATGGAACTGGAAACGCATCGCCGCTATTCGGACCCTGGTCCCTCATTTTGTCTTATAAACCTAACAATATTGATAGTTTTTTTTAATCCAAACCTCTCACTTCTGGTACCTGGATGCGAATAGTCGCAGCCTTTTTTCTTCTCGAATGAGAATAATAACGTTGACCACTGACGTTGTGAATTATTTATCATATTAAACATATATTAAATATTAATATCACAAACGTATTCAAGATATAAAGAAAGAACGAAAAACAGTGCTGCAGTTCCACAAAGCAGGGCCTGATTAAGCCATCTTGGTGCCCTAGGCACAAACCCACATGGGTGCCCCCTACTGCCCCCGGCCCCCGATCCTCCACTGACTGCTGGTATGTTCAAAATTATGCAAAAAAACTAACAAAGAAAAACAGTTGTGAAATGTAAACACATACGTTTGTACTACTATCACTCATATAAAACCTACAATAAGGTATTTATGTATTAAAATTTATAGTTAATTAATGTTCTAATAATAGACAAAAATACTGTAACTTTTTTGATAGATAAGAAAGTCAGAGAGAGCACACATTTACATTTTAAAGTTCTTTTTTCTAGATTTACGTCTGGCAAAGTTTTTGAGTACATCATCAAAATTAATTTTGCGCAACAAGTCTGCCTCAATCATCAGCAAAGATAAGGAATCAAGCCTTTCTTGTTTCATTGTCGATCTACTTGGATTTTGTGTACGTTTCAACTGAGAAAAAGAGCGCTCAGATGAACAGTTCGTAATCATCAATGTTAAAAATATGCGCAAGGCGATTTAAACATTTGGAAAAGCACACTCGATGTTGTCTCTAACTATTACTTTGTAGAGTTCTTCACGACTGAACGAGTTGTTATCAGATTTTGATGCACGAAACTTGTGGCGAATATATGAGTGGAACTGTTGTAGCTCAGTATATAAATTATTGTTCAGATCTTCAGGATAAGCATTTGTTAGTCCTTCACAACACTGAGATGTTTGTGGTACATCGACCAAACAAGAAAATCGAACTGCTAGATCATTATATACCTGTCCTCGTTTACTCATCTCTGTCTCAAGTTTGTCAACAATGGTGTAAAAACAGATATACGAAATTTGTCTCAAGCATTCTGAGATACTTCAGGGACATCATCATCAATGACCACTGTCTTTTGTTTGGGTCAAAGTTGACTTATAATCCACACATGGTGTTATTTCTTTTGTAGTTTCTTCAAATCTTTCAAATTCATTCCTAGATTCATGCAAGTGATCTGCTAGTGAAGAATACAAATCAGCACACGTTGTCAAGTTCACGTGCTCATTTTATAGAACTTGACTGACCCTGTGAAAATGTTGTAACACTGCTTCCCAAAAGACAAGCATGAAAGCAAATTCTAATTCTTGCATCTTCTTTGCAATGTTTTCTGCTTCTCTTCTGGTGTCCCCCTTCAATGAGTGGTCTTCTTTTAAAAATTCTAAAGCTTCTATAATCTGAAGATGAGACTTCAGAATGGCTTCAGTTGCAACAGCATGTGCTTCCCATCTGGTATCGGAAAGGGACTTTACCAGCTTTTCATTCACAAGGCATCCTTTCAGAATCTTCCATCTTTTGGTTGTGGGACCAAGGTTAAATAATGTGCGATTCAATATTACTTTTGCGATTTGCTTATGCCATGCAATTACGCAACCGGGACAATATACACATTTTTCTTGAGGACTTGTAGTGCCCCCCAAATGCTTGGTGCACTAGGCACGTGCCTTCTTCGTTTAATGGTTAATCCAGCCCTGCCACAGAGCAATTGACAAGCCACCAAGCATTACGGTTGGGATACGGTATCAAAATACCGGTACTGCTTTAGGTGCGACAAGCTGAGTAGGAACTGACAGTCTGATAGTGATGGGTCGATCCCATAGAAAAATATCCAGGATAAAAAGCATATCCATAAACAAAACGTTGATAGTTTTTTCAGGCATCTCTCCGGAAGTATTTGCTACAATGTATTACTTTATTTTTAAATAATCAAAAATTTAATGGGGACTATAAAGATGTATTAGACGATATTAAGCTAGGGAAAATGCATACCCGCAACGACGCCTCAATTGGCATGTATTTAGCTCATGTTAGACTGAAGCAAGTAAGAGATATTCCTAATAATGGCTAATTTTAGCGCTTTACAGGAAAGTATCAAATCCCCCTCAAAATTGCCTGAAAGAAACACCAAATTCAAGTATGCGCCAAAATGCACCCCTGCATTTTGAATATGTGCAACTGTTTCAGCACCCTCAAATTCTACACCCCTTCCCCCACGCTGAATATAAGCTTGTGCCAAATGATTATCCTGGGGAGCGCCACAACCTGAGTGAATTCAGTTGATGTATGGCTCTGAATGCCATAACATCTCCCTCTGACGATTGAAAAATTCCTTCCCCAGATACTATAGTCTAAGAGAAACACTGAATTTAGGCACAGGACCTACTCCAAAATGCACCTTTTGATTTTGAAATAATCCAAAATTTGTTGGGGAGGGCTCTCCAGACCCTTTCCCTTTTTCTCAAAAGCCAACAGTACCCTCAATTTCTGCTTTTCTTCCTTAAAAAAAAATTACAGTAAAGCTGGCGCTGGTCATAATTTTTGTTGATGATATATTCAAAACCTAGTGGAGTAGCTAATGTTAGTGCTGATAGATACACAGATTGGTGGAGTAGCTAGTGTTAGTGCTGAAAGATAAACTACCTAGTGGAGTAGCCAGTGTTAGTGCTACCCTAGACTTGCCAAGACTTATGCCACGTTCCAATTGATACAAATCTGCATTTGTCATAAAATCCTTCCCCTCCATATAAGGATAAATTGACATCTGGGCTGACCACCCAACTCGCCTCACTTGCAGAGGCGTAGCTAGAGTGTTTGTCGCCAGGGGACATTCATTCATTTTCACATCCCCCCACCCCCGCCCCCCCCCCAACTCTGAAAACCATTATTTTGATGCATTAAATACCTTCACACCCCATTTTGGCGTCGCGCTAGTGTGTTGCATGGGGATATCTATCCCCCACTCCCCCCTTAGCTACACCTCTTGTCACTGTCCCTGCCCCCCTTCCCAAAAATCTGAAATGATCCCCCCCCCAGGGAATTTTTCTGAAAGAAACACTGATTTCTCACTCCTCATTCATTTATTGTTGCAATGCGATGTTATTTGTCATTAGTGGTGAAATGTCGGTAATTATGAAGGATATTGTGACATTTTTTTTCGATAGTAGCGATCCTGAGATGTGTAGGGTGGAAGAAACGTATTTTGGGACATTGGAAATGCCTGGGTCCGGAAATTCGGGTAATACTGAAATGAAGTAGGCTTCCAATTGTTGCACTGTAGAATAAGTTAACGACTTGTTTGTTTGCGCCGAAATTGTACAGTTTTTTAAGGTAGAAAAGTCTTTGGTTGAATTTCTTAAACAGCATTTGGTTGTGCTCATGCCATGTTAGCTTATCATTAATGGTGACATCTAAGAACTTATATGCCTCTACTTTATCTACACTTTGATTATGTTGAGATCTGTAATCTGGTGTTCCCCCCTTCCCTTGAAATCAACAACCATTTCCTTTGTTTTTGAGACATTCAGCTGGAGAAAATTTTCCTCGCACCAATTGATAAAGCGTGTATCTAAGTTGCGGTATAAGGCTTATCCTTCAGATATTAAGCCAACGATGGTGGTATCATCAGCAAATTTTAAGGTTGGAACGGTGTCGCTTGAGCTTTGAATATCATTGGTATATAATATTGTTTACAGTACAGTGGAGAGAACGCAGCCTTGTGGCGCACCGGTGCTTATTTCTCTGGTTAGAGATCATTGGTCATTTACCTTAACATATTGTGGTCAATTTGTTAAAAAGTTCAGTATCCAAGCTTGAATAT